CTCCTGGATTGGCACCTATCGACCCCGACCACAACATGGAGCCTCCAAGGACGACGCCAGCATCAGCACCCTCGGCCAGGCCGGGGGAAACCCCTGCTGGCCGTACATCCGCAGAGGACGCCTTGGATGAGCAAATAGTACGCGCTATGATTCAGGAGACCAATCACAAAGCAGATGATAAAGAATGGTTAATTGCATTGTCACATTGTCGCGAAGCTCTTCGACCAATCACATCAAAGATCATGCAAAAAGATTGGGATCGTCGTCCTGCATTTAACGATGTTCGAATGGGCGACTTCATTGTCATTAAGAATTGGGGTTCTACCAAATGCTTTCACTACGACAACCACTGGCCCAAAGGCAATCACAATACCAAGATTACTTTGTCCAAGGGACACATATATGGTCCAATCATCCATTTCAGCATCTTCGACAAGTTCTTTGCGGTACAAGTACCTATTCTCAACTACGGTTTACGATGGGTAAATATCTGGTATAATGACAAAAGCATGCCCCTCAAGGGCGTCGTATTTGCATTACCGATTCGTATCGAAGAACACGCCATCGATCCAACATGGATGGAGACTGTCCTGAAAGGGCCGACATCATGCAGCGAGGAGATACTACAGCACAAGGTTAGCGGCAGCTTACCATACCTTGGAATGCCTAGCTTCCATAGACCACGTATTCCGCGTACACCGCCAAGAAGGCCCGCTCCTCGGACACCCGATCCAGACGAGCTGGTGTCCACACCTGCCGAGGACAACGCTCGTGCGGGCGAAATTCCTCGACAGGGTGCAGCATCATCGCATGATCCACTGATCGCCGTGATCGTGGACATATCAAATATCGCTCTTACTGCCGATGAGAAAGCTGCGAACGACAACATGAGAGCAGACCTCTCGGCAGACATCCAAGCAGAAGAGCAGATTGAGGCAAGCATCCTCGACCACATCATTGATCCGCCATCGAATTTCCTTGACCATCCAGATTGCGACCCCGACGAGGATTCAAGATGGATTAAACAGTCTGATGATTGCCGCGTGTATTGTTGGACATCGGCGTTATTGGTGGGTTCGCCTATGATCAAGATGAAGCAGATCATCGAGCTACACAGTGGCGCAGACAGAATCGTAATGGACAAAATTCAGTCACATTTACAATTTGAAATTCGATTTGGATCGAAAGCATGGAATGCGGAGTCATACCAATTGAACTACAATCATACCTACAAGTGGGCACGTGACTTACCTAATTGTGGTGCAGATCATTTCTTCAAAAAGTTGGTGCACTACCTCGACCCAGAGACTATCGAGGAGTCGACCACAGGCATCTTTCAATGGATTTCCAAAGTATACCAGAACATTTTGAAAGATAGTATTGCGGAGCTTCCAGATTTCGCCAAAGAGGCCATCCATGAGAACCATCCTGCACTTCAGGCATTGCGTGACCTATTCAAAAATTGTACTGTGACATACGGTAATCCAGATTTTCCTGTATGGGAAGAGCTGGTGGAAACACCTGCTGCGCCTCGAGAGCAAGGGGCTGAGCAGGACATTCCCCAGGACCCAGGCAGTGTTGCGTCTGCAGCTCCCGATCAGGAAACTATGGTACGTATCATAGCCGAGCAGACGGGACTCAAGCGCGAGGAGGGCGACAACGAGGCTACCTTGCAGGAGCAGGCTCGCCGTCTTCGTGAGGAGAACGTTTGCCATGGCGGTACTGAGGATACCGACAACATCAAGATAGAGTATCAAGGACTGCCAGGGGAAAGGTTGTCTCGGATCGAGATCGAGGGTTTAAGCAGATCGATCGCTTCCAGACCGAACACCGAGATCAATCGTGAGGCGATCAATCAGATCGGTCAGAGCCTCGCTCGCGGTCAGGACACCCGCTGGGGATCCCGCGATCACCTGACTTCGGCAGGGGCCCCCGAGACGATCTTGCATCCCATACCGCTCTGTCACAATTGCGGTCGAGATCTGTCCCTCGGGATTGTCACAGGTGACGGCACACTTTGTGATATATGTTGGCAATACACTGTGGCCGTAGGCGCCACAGGTAAGAGCACCGCCACACAGAGCGATCTCGCGTACCTGCAGAAGTTGACGAACTGGATCAAGACGACGTTGTCTGAGGACCAGATCGCGAGATACATGAAGGATGGCGCGCACGTCATTATGACGGGTGCGCGATCGCACATAGGCACAGAGAAAGATCAGTTGCGGAGATTGGCCAATGCGTCCAAAAAGAGGTATCAGAAGTGGGTCGAAGCCGGTAGCCCGCCTGCACACGAGTGCAGATTAATGGGCGAATCCGAGGACGACCGACCTCTGTACTACCCATTCGCCAATCTCATACAACGCTTTCTCAACGACCTCAAGTTCCATCATCAGATGACAGGTGCCCGCGTGAATGTCGGCAAGAAGCCCTGGACCGTCGAGGACATGCGCGACGCGTGGGACATCCTTGACGTCAGCATTAGGACAGGACAGGCTGGTCGGAGAAAGTGGTGGCTGAACGAGGGACGCATTGACAGGCAGACGCGGCAGGCGCGCGGACAGGTTACGGTTTCTCTCCCTCGAAGGGACGGAACCCGTGAACAGTTCACCCAGCGTAAGCTTGCCGCGATTGCCAACGAACTGATAGGCTCCCTCGATCCGTCACACACCGACCAGAGGGGGGTTAGTACAGGGAAGAGAGCCGATCCCGATACACAATCCCAACAGTCCGATGACGCCATGGTGTCGCGGCCGCCGCCGCGCCCGCCGCCGCGCCCTGCTCCTGGCGACGCTGCTGCGTCCCGCGCCTCAGGCGCGGAGGACTACGCGCCCGCGATGCCGCGCGCCAAGAGAGCACGTACATCTGATTACGCTGCTTACTGGCGCCACGACCTCGAGGACAGCTACTGGGGTCTTCGATACTGGAGTTACTACATCAAATGTTGGATCTACATTGCGATCAACAACGACGAGTATGTGTACATCCAGGATATCACGTACAACGATTGGTTCCGCAACTGGATCCCGAGGACAACTTGGGAAACGTTTACGACAAGCTACGTGACGTACAACGGCCAGAGGGCGTGGGGCCGCAGGTTCTACAAGGACGGCGGCGCGTAGTGAGTCGGCCGCAAGGCCCACTGCTCAAGAGCAGAACTTCCTTTCATCAAAGTTCGCCTTGAGCGGTGGCTAATATATTCTTTTAGACCACTTCAATCATTCCAACAAGTGGCCGTACACATATATATATATATATATATATATATATATATCTTTTGCGATCACCGAGGCAGCCTCCTAAGGAGCAACGCCAACGAGAGTCGCCAAACAGACTTTTATACATCCCTTTTCGTGTTCATCAACACGACATTTTGTCTGGCCAGACACTTGCTTTACGCAGATTTGCGCTTCTTTTCAGGATCGTGTTCGTCAACACGATCTTAGCATACATCTGTTTTTAGGCAGACTTGTGTTTCATTTCAAGATTGTGTTCGTCAACACGATCTTAGCATGCATATCTTACCAATTTGAACAATATTGCGTCGAGAATAATCTGCTGGCTCGTGGCAACACCTGCCTCGCAAATCTTGCGAGGCAGATTGCGTGTTGCCTTAATGCTCAGATCTTCTTTCTCCGCCTACCCTTGTCTCATTCTTCTCCTCCCTCGAGTGCCGAAGCGTTTTGGGGGGCGCACCGAGGGGGCGCCAAAGTGCGCCTGGAGAAGAAAGGGGGACTTAGGGTATCTCTTCTTACCTCACTTTGCAGCTGTGGCTTCGCTGTTTGTAAGCCCCAGCTGCCTTTCTGACTTAAGGACTAAAGGAGTTCAGAGGTTACGGAATCCTTTCCTCTGTTCCCGAGTCCTGCCTTAACGGGCGGGATTCGGGACGGGGGGTGTGGATGGAACCCGTGTAATACCCTCATATATACTCCTTATCCTTACCTCTCCCGCACCTGGCCGTTTGGGCTCAGGTGCTGAGTTGGAGCGATCGTACCTTGATCGCGTGGGAGGGAAAGATATCTATCTATCCCTCCATCTCTCTACCAACGGATCAGGGGTTCTGTGCCCTTGTACTTCAACCCCATACACAGATGCAGGCTGAGGCTGAGGCTGGCTGAGGCTGAGGCCGAGGCTGAAGGCAGACTGAGGCTGAGGCTGAAGCAGGCTGAGGCTGAGGAAAAGGTTGAGGCTGAGGCCGAGGCAGGCTGAGGCTGAGGCTGAGGCAGGCTGAGGCTGAGGCCGAGGCAGGCTGATGCGGAGGCAGGCTGAGGCTGAGGCTGAGGCTGAGGCTGAGGCTGATGCAGGCTGAGGCTGAGGCAGGCTGAGGCTGAGGCCGAGGCTGAAGGCAGGCTGTGGCTGAGTCTGAGGCTGAAGCAGGCTGAGGCTGAGGCTGAGGCAGGCTGAGGCTGAGGCTGAGGCAGGCTGATACTGAGGCAGGCTGAGGCTGAGGCTGTGACTGTGACTGCCGTTGCCACTGCGACTGTCATCGCGAATGCGACTGCGACTGCGAGAACAGGAGAATTCTACAACTGGATTCTCATCTGGATCTTAAGGGGAATGTTTCCATATATGCTTCTACACATCGCTGTTAGGTTGCTTTGCCGGGATATGTTTTCATATATAAAAAACAGGGCGCAGGAGGGGGGGGGGCAGGAGACGCCCCCCCTGCATACCGAATAACCTATAACCAAATCCCATCAGGCTTTGCGGCCGCAGGAAAAAAGAACGGGATGAAAAACAGCAAAAACACCAAACAACAACAACACCAACAACAACAACAGCAACAGCAACAACAACACCATCAACAACGGTCGTAGCCACTTTCGGCTCAAAATCTGTCATGCCATTTATGGTTTCTCTGTATCGGTCGAGCTTTTCGCGCAGTCAGTGTCCCCACGTGGGCCCATGGGGCCCACATTGAAGTTGACGAGAGGTAAGCCTGCCATCAAAAAATCGCCAGCACCTACGAAGGCGACTGGAGTCGGCCCAGCGTTGCGCAGGCCAGCCGCCCGCGATGACGAAACTCACTCTGGATCCAACCTGAAGGCGATCATGAACAAGCCGTGGGCCGACGTGAGCAAGGCAGAGCAGGACAGCGTGATTCGGCAGATGGGCCAGAGAAGGGCGCGTGAGTTGTTGGCTGACAGCGGGCACCCGCCCCCTCTCCACTTCAGCGACGAGACGGCTCTGAAGAAGCTGCTTCAGGGACACTCGCCGTATCGGGCGACGGGTTGTCCGGCAAGGGTCACGCCCCTCAAGCTCGACCTCGTGAGTCTGCCAGGCTCAGTTCAGGAGTGTCCACTCATGACTGACATGGCGCCCCTGGGGGTCATCGGATTCCTGGGGGACTATCAGGAGCGCACGCTGGCGCCATCGGTCGACGTGTACGAGACCGCCCCCATACTTCGATCCTGTGCTGAGGTTCTATCAGAGGGAGTCTCATCGTCTGCTCCGCCGTCTAGCGGAGATCGGTATCATATCTTGGACGTCACCCCGAAGGGCCAGGCGGGCCTCTTCACGGTGGAGAAGGACGGCGGCACGGCCCAGCGCCTCATCGTCGACGCTAAGCGGGCCAACGATTGCTTCAAGGCGCCGCCAGGCGGATCTCTGCTGAGATCGGAGGGCTCTCTCGCGCGGAGGTGGAGCTGCCCGCCGACGCGCCGCTGGGTTCCGAGCGGGCTGTCGAGCTGCTGAGCGACTTCTACTTGGCGGTCGGGCTCTCCGACGTCTCGAACTGCTTCCATCGGCTGCGCGCGCCTGCGTGGCCGCCTGACTACTTCTGCCCCCCCCCCCCCGGCGCCGTCCCACGCGATGGGAGCGGCGGGCGAGGAGGTGCACGGCCGCCGGCTCGGCCGCGCGGAGGCAGGAACTCCGCGCCGGGCCGCCCTGCCAATGGGCTCCACGTGGAGTTTGTGGATCGCGCAGATGATCGACGAGGCCACGTGACGAGGGTTGCGCCCTCGCTGCCGAGGCCCCCTCTGCAGGACCGCGGGCCGCCGCTGGTGGCGAGGCCCTGGCTGGCAGAGGAGGCCGACGAGATCGGCTACTACGCGCGCGTGGACAATCTCGGCGCGATCGGGGTCTGCGAGAAGGCTGTCGGCCGGGCGCTCGAGCAGCTGGAGGGGGGCTTCAACCGTGAGGGCCTGCTGCTGCATAAGTCCGAGCTCTCGCGGGCGGGCATCGTGGCCTTGGGCGCAGAGCTAGACGGCGCCGCCTTGAGGGCGCGGGTCGCGCCTAAGCGCATCTGGAACGTCTACGCGGAGCTGGGCGCACTACTGAGGCGCGAGCGGGCCAGCGCCTGGTCCGTGCAGGCGGTCCTCGGCCACTGCGTCTTTGCTGCCTTGTGCTGCCGAAGGTTGCTCGGCGTCTTCCACTCGGTGCGCGCGTTCGTGGAGCACGGGCGCGCATCGGGCCGGGCTGAGCCGCTGTGGGGCGAGTGCCGAGCGGAGCTGCGTGTTTTCAGGCCCCTCGTGATCTTCATGGCGAGCGACTAGCTGCGCGGCTGGACCGGCCTGGCGGGGCAGGCCGACAGCAGCCTTGAGGGCTGCGCCGTGGCGCAGGCCTCCTGGCCCCTGGATGCCTCGAGGGAGGTTGGCCGCACCTCCGAGCGCAAGCGCATTCGGCGAGTCGGGCCCCCCTGTGCCCGAGAGAGTGCCCTCCAAAACGGCGGGCCTCAGGTGGCAGGCGGACGGGGGCTGGTCAGTCGCCGCGGGGGCAGATGAGCGGGGCTGCGACGAGCCGCCCTCGGAGACGGCGCGAGACTTGGAAGTCGACCGGTCTTTCCCCGAGGTGCCGGCCAGTCTCTTGAAGTCAGATGTTTGGCGGTTGGTGAGCGCGCAGAAATGGAGGAGAGTCGAAGGCGTTCTTGTCGAGGAAGCTCGAGCCGCAGTGAATGCACTCATTCGTGTTCCGACCAGTGTACACGTCAGCGATATGAGACAATTGTTTCTCTGTGATAATATGTCGGTCACTCTCGGTAGGAGCCGCGCCAAAAACTTCTTGTTCCTGGTCCAGATTCGCGCTTTCCAGGCCCACTGTGTGGCCGCGAATGTTCTTGGTGCCGTTCGTTGGATCCCCTCCGAGCTTAACTTCGCGGACAAGGGTAACCGAGTCATTGGGTATAGCAGTGCTAGTATTACGTTGGTCGATGAGATCCCTTCTGCGAGTGTCCAAGGCAACGGCTTAAAAGCGGACTTGCGAATGCCCGCAATCCCCGAACCATTGTGATTTAGCCGCTCCTGTTCAGGCTGCCCCTCGTTGCAGGTCCGTAGGCATTTCGGCCCAAGATCTACCATGTTCTCCTCGTATTTCTCCCGAGCCCACGGGCTGTTGCAGCCGTGGCGGCCAGGGGGCGGCAGGCGAGCTCGCCGCCAGCGGAGCCTCGGCCGACCGGAGGCCGACGAGGTCACGCGTCTCTGGCCAGCCAGCGGAGGGCGACGCTCCGCCCGCAGGACGTCCAGCTGGCCTTGCGCGATCGCCTGGGCTGCAGTCGCCAGGAGCTCGGCCTCCCCGAGACCGACGAGCAGCTGAGCCGTGCGCCGGCGCTGGCCGACGTCGGCGCGAGCAGCGGCACCGACGACGAGGCGGGGCCCGGGCCCGGCGCCGCGCGGCGGGCAGTGCTGAGGCGCGCGGGCCACCAGAGGCGATGCAAATTCCTGGGCCTCGCCCTCGCGACCCCCGCGCTGGGAGCGAGCGCCTTCCTCGAGCAGAGCTCGGTGACTCCGAAGGTGCTGGAGCGCCGCCTTGCCGAGGTCGGCGGCTTCGTCCACTTCGCGGGCGGTCGCTGGGGTGCGAACAAGGGCGAGCAGGTCCTGGCTGGCTCGATGCGCCTGGCGCCGGATTTCTCGCGGGCTGGTGGCCGCCTGCCCCCCCAGGCCCTTCGCTGCCTGAGGGGATGGCGGCGCCGGGCGCCGGGTCGCAGTCGGCGGAGGTGACCGCTGGCCCTCGCGCCGGCATAGCTTGGCGGCTGGTGGAGCGGGGATCGTTGCAGATGGCTGCGTTTCCTCTTGTATCCCTCAGCATTTGCTTGAGGCCGTTGTGGGGCATGGGTCGCCGTGGTATCATTGCGCCAGCTGCGGGGATCTCCCCATTCTGGAACCTGCTCCTTTTCCCTTCGCAGCACGCGGAGCGGAGCAAGACAGTTCTCAGCGATGTCAGTATAGTGCTGGACTCCCCATGCCTGCAGTTTCTAGGACCGATCCTGAGAGCGTTGGCCGATGGGCCGCGGGAGGAGTCGGTCTGGGCGTTCGCGCACCCGCAGTGCCCGATGGATTTCAAAGCTGCGCTGGCCGAGCTCGAGATCGGCGAGACCATCGCTCCGCATCAGACGAGGCGCTCGGGCTCGTCGATCGATATCGCGCGACCCTACCGCGCCGTGTCGGAGGCGCAGCGCCGCGGCCAGTGGGCAAGTGTGAAGAGCGCCCAGCGGTGCGAGAAGGATGCCAGGCTGGGAGCGCGCTGGGAACAGCTGTCAGCTCCGCGCGGGGGCTGCTCGAGGCCTGCGAAGCAGTGCTCGAGGACATGCTCCTGGGCAGGCCGCGCGGCGTGACGCTCGCCTGGCGGGCCATTTCAGGGGTCGGTACGTCCTCGACCTGTATTCGGGCACCGCGGGGGTCGCTCGAGCGGCGGCCCAGCAGGGCTGCAAAACTCGCGCATTCGATCGCGCCCGCGGACCAGCAGAGGACCTGACCAGCGATAGAGCGCTGAGTCGGCTGGGAGCTGCGATGCGCCGAGGCGAAGCGTTGGGAGCTGTGATGGGCCCGCCGCGCGATGCCTGGGGAGGCGCCGCGGATCGCGGGCGGCATGGTCCGATCCGCTCTGTGGAAGAGCCCTGGGGGCTGCCCGAGCGCTGCCTCGCGTCTCGCCAGTGCGACAGGCTCAGGCGAGGCAATCGCATTTTCAGATGTGCTTTGCGCGTGCTTCAAATGTTGTGCCGAAATCGTGTTAACCCATTCTAGAACACCCGATCAACTCGCGAATCTGGCGCGCGCCCGAGATTGTGAGTATCATGCAGCGATCTAGGGGACACTCCAGAGTTGTTTACCAGTGTCGGCTTGGGTGAAGCTGGCGGAAGCGCACGAATCTTGATTCCTTTTTAAAGCAGACGCTGGAAGATTCGATCGCAGATGCCAGGGCAGCCTTGGTTTGTGTAGTCGCACAGGCCGCGAGCATTTCGCAATAGAGGGGGCGGCGCCATCAGGCGTCACATGGACAGCCATCGCAGCCTCCTACCCTCCAGCTCTGTGTAAGGCCATGGTCCAGTCGCTTCCTTCCAATGGGCGCGATTGGATCGCCACTCTAGCTTCTGGCTGACGCCGGCCTTCTGCCCCGCCAATGTTTTTCAATGTGCGTGCTTTCTCTTGTTGCCCTGTCCCGCCCGTCCCTGGGGGCCTCCATGCTTGGGTCGCCCATTTCGGGTTTGGGATGTCTTGAGCGGGGGCCTTCTTGCCTCTCGGGCCCCCGCCAGTTTGCGCGCTGACCGGCTGGCGCCCAGGTCGCGTCGACGCGCGGCGCCGCGCAGCAGAAAGTGCGCCCGCGAGCAAAATGCAACAGCACCTGTGTGTGTGTGTGCTTGCACGGGAAGGTGAGGGGTATTGTTCGGGCGATGTCTCCCGTTGCTATAATCTATAATCAAGCCTCTTCTTCTCTCTTTTCCCTCCCTCCCTTGGCCCTCTCTCTCTTTTGGGGCGTGTTGGGCGGGGGCCATCTCGCCTCTCAGGCCCCCGCCAGTCTGCGCGCTGACCGGCCGGCGCCCAGGTCGCGTCGACGCGCGGCGATTTGTTGCAGAAGCAGCCCCCCACGAGAAAAATACAACAGCACCTGTATATAATATATATATATATATATATATATATATATATATATATAACACACACCACACCTATACGCCCGCCTGCGGGCGATGAGGGGGCTGGGGGGGGGGGGGGGGGGGGCGGGGGGGGTTGAGATCAAATGCCCACCCCTGACGGACCTCCAGCCTGTAAGGTGGGTTGTATTATTGGAAGAGATGGATTGGATAAGATGAATTGGATTGGCCCGCCGCAGGCGCAGAAACAAATGAATTGATGGATTGGGTTGGGTGGATTCGATTGGGTGATTTATTGATGGATTGGGCTGGGTGGATTAGATTGGGTGGGGTACGGCGGCCCAGGCGGCTCCCAAAGCCGCCCCAACAGGGCGCAAAAGAGTCACATGTCGGCCCAAGTGGCTCACATGACGGCCTCAGGTGGTGTCTCTCCTTCGTCCCGACCATGGATTCCTTATTAAATGGCTCCCTTATTCCCCAAACGCGGCGTGCTAGACTGGGTGGTATTGTGATAGAAATTGGTGTAATTCCAGACGCTTCGCGTATCCCCACCAGCCCGTCCGGAAACGACGCCCAGGCGAGTAGAGGGTCGTCCTGAGGGGCTTTTCGGCGTCTTGGGTGCCTCGGGGGGGCCTCTGTGGGCCGTTCGGGATCTTCTTTGGGGCCTCCTGGGGGCCTCTTGGGGCCTCTTGGGGCCATCTTGGGGCCTTTGGGGGCCTCCTGGGCGCTTCTTGGGGCCATCTTTGCCCCCTCAGAAGGCCAACATGGGGCCCAAACCATAGTAAAAATGCCTCTGGGAGCACCTTGGGTGCCTCTGGGGGGTCTCTTGGGGCCTCTTGGGGGTCTCTTGGGGGCCTCCTGGGGGCCTCTTGGGGGGCCTCTTGGGGCCATCTTGGGGCCATCCTGCGGCCTCTTGGGGCATCCTGGGGGCCTCTTGCGGCCATCGTGGAGGAAATCGATCAAAGAAGAGGGGAGCTTTAATTAGCGCTGCCCCCTCAGAAGGCCAAAATGGGGCCAAAACCATAGTAATTCAATGATTTTGGCTTCCTCGCCGAGGCCGTTTTGGACGCTCTGACCGCTCCCCGCCCCTCCTGTCCAGGTCAGTGGGGAGGGGGTAGGGGGAGGGGTAAACCCCTCCCCGAAGGGGAAGAGGGAGGGGTGGAAGAGGAAACGCCCTAAACCACCGACGCCCAGAGGGCTGGTGGGATTTATAAGTATATGGAACCTGTCTGGGCGCGCTGTTCAGGGAAAGCGTGTTTGCCAATGGGGCGCAGCTGTATGCGGGGAGGGGCGACGGAGACGCCGACACCCCGTCTGAGTTTGTACCCACTACGGGTTGTCGGGCGTAGACGATTTGGGGTCCTCCAGAGGTCTCGGGGGGGAGAGCTGGTGGGGTCGATGGCAGGAAGAATATGGGGCCTGGAGAGAGTGGGAGGCCCCAGTGGGAGGGTTCGCAAGGAACCGCTGCCCAATTTCGGCAAACCACGTACACGTTTCGTGGCCCGATAGGGAGCTCCACCGAAGGCCCCAGTGGGAGGGTTTGCATGGCACCGCCGCCCCTGTTCGGCACACCCCGCATTCGCTTCGTGCCCGCTCAGAAGGCCAAAATGGGGCCCAAACCATAGTAAAAATGCCTCTGGGAGCACCTTGGGTGCCTCTGGGGGGTCTCTTGGGGCCTCTTGGGGGTCTCTTGGGGGCCTCCTGGGGGCCTCTTGGGGGGCCTCTTGGGGCCATCTTGGGGCCATCCTGCGGCCTCTTGGGGCATCCTGGGGGCCTCTTGCGGCCATCGTGGAGGAAATCGATCAAAGAAGAGGGGAGCTTTAATTAGCGCTGCCCCCTCAGAAGGCCAAAATGGAGCCAAAACCATAGTAAAATCAATGATTTTGGCTTCCTCGCCGAGGCCGTTTTGGACGCTCTGACCGCTCCCCGCCCCTCCTGTCCAGGTCAGTGGGGAGGGGGTAGGGGGAGGGGTAAACCCCTCCCCGAAGGGGAAGAGGGAGGGGTGGAAGAGGAAACGCCCTAAACCACCGACGCCCAGAGGGCTGGTGGGATTTATAGGTATATGGAACCTGTCTGGGCGCGCTGTTCAGGGAAAGCGTGTTTGCCAATGGGGCGCAGCTGTATGCGGGGAGGGGCGACGGAGACGCCGACACCCCGTCTGCGTTTGTACCCACTACGGGTTGTCGGGCGTAGACGATTTGGGGTCCTCCAGAGGTCTCGGGGGGGAGAGCTGGTGGGGTCGATGGCAGGAAGAATATGGGGCCTGGAGTGAGTGGGAGGCCCCAGTGGGAGGGTTCGCAAGGAACCGCTGCCCAATTTCGGCAAACCACGTACACGTTTCGTGGCCCGATAGGGAGCTCCACCGAAGGCCCCAGTGGGAGGGTTTGCATGGCACCGCCGCCCCTGTTCGGCACACCCCGCATTCGCTTCGCGGCCCCATAGGGAGCTCCCCCAGAGGCCGAAATTTGTGAGAAGTTTCGGTCATGATGCTGTCCGCGCGTCGGAGGTTTGTCTTACGGGCCATCTGGGCCTCGGGCGGCCGCTCGGGACTATCCAGGCCCAGCGCCGGGACGCTCTCGGCGAGGCGCAGCTGCTGGCAGGCATCCCGAGGCGAGAAGTCTTGCAGCAGCCCACGAAAACTTGCGAACTGATCCTTCCGTTGGAGGTTTGGGTGGGGGAGGGGGCGGCCAGTGGGGGGAGGTCTTGGGTGGTCTGGGTGGAGGTCTTGGTGGGGGTGGGCATGGGTGGAAGTCAGGGTGGGGGGAGGGGTCTGGTGGTGGTCTCGGTGATGGTCTTGGTGGAGGGTGGTGTGGGTGGAGGTCTTGGTGGAGGTTTTGGTGGTCTGGGTGACGAGGGAGGGGTTTGGGTGGAGATCTGGGTGTGGGGTGGGGGGGGGGGAACCAGTGGGGAGGATGTCTGGGTGGTCTGGGTGGAGGTCTGGGTGGGGGGGGGAAGCCTGGGTGGGAGTCTGGGTGTGGGGGGGGGTCCGATGGTGGTCTGGGTGGAGGGTCCTTGAGATCTGACGTTGCGAAACAAATCCAATATCCCTACAAATCACGACTAGAGCCCTAGACCTTCTCTTTCTGCTGCAGTTTTCGAGCCGTAGATCCGTGAGGGTCACCAGGCCCGAATCAAGGCAAAATCGCCCCTCGTGAAACAATGGTGGCGCCAGGACCTCGGAGAGAGGGCTCGTAGACGGAAAACATACCCGTACCCGTGGCCTCGCGGACCGGGCCCCTGGGCCGCGCCCCGCGGATGCGGAGCGTTCTTTCGCGGAAGCCCCATGCGGAGCGTATCCGTGTGACAGCGTATCCGCGGGATCTCGCCCTAGAATCCAGACCGCGAGGGCGCGGATACGGATATGTTCGCCACTCGAGAGGGGGCAGCCGGCGGCGGGCCGCGGCCAGCGGGGCCGGCTCCCCCGCAGCGCCAGGTGAGCGGCTCGCACATCGGCGAGCCGGGCACGCCGGCCACGCCCAGCGGCGGCGGCACGGCGGGGCTGTGGCGCCCTGGGGGGGCCGCGTGCTCCTGAACGCATCGTGAGATCGAAGTTTCCAGATCTCCGAGGATTCGTTTCCAACCATCCTGTGGTATCGAGTCCCCGTTTTGAAGAGAGTGCCCCGCGTCCCTCTTATCTCCCTCCTGTCTCTGGACCGCACCGTTGGCAAATTACCAGTTCCAGACCAGACGGATGACCCCGATAAGGATATGCGTTGAGTCAATTCGGCGTTAGCTTGGCAGTT